CCCCACGGAGGGGCCGGCCCGGCGAGCTCAGCCCGCGGCGACAATAGCAACTACTTTTGAATGGGGCCCTCCCCGTAGCGTCAGCCCTCATTAACATGCGCCGCGGCCATTGGCCGAGCCCGTCCCATCTGCTCCCCGATTGGCTGAGAGACGGTTTGATTTTTTTTTTTTTCTTTTTTTTTCCTGCCGAGGGGCTCTGGGAGGCGCGCGGAGGCCCTGGGCAGGCGGAACCGGATCCCCCAGCTCCGGCTCCACTCTGGCCTAGCAGAGCTCCCTTTCTGCCCCGCCCCAGTCCCGCCAAACGTCCGGCCGTGGCTCCGCGCTTTCTCGGATCCAGCTGTGGCTGGCTGCCCCGGCCACCTCTCCAAGGGGCGGGGCCTGGCACCCTACAACAAAACCTGTCCCCAGGTAGCCTCGTGGAGTAAGGATGGGGGCGCACCCCCTCCAAAGATCCCACTTTTCCCCTCTAGTTCCCTGGCCACAAGCACAGGTGACCCTGCGGCCCCCTTCTCTTCCACCAGGAGGGCCCCAAGAGGATCCTAGGCTCCAGCCAGCTGGGCGCTTCCCACTCACAGAGGCCTCTCTGTCCCCACGGCTGCTGGCTCCTCCTCTGGTCCCTGGGGACAGTCTGGCCTGGCCTGCCCGCTGCAGGACAAAGCCACTTTCTCCTGTGTCCCCAGATCCCCATCTGGTGACCAGCTCCCTCTGCCTCTTGCTCTTCTCTGCTCCTTCCCCTGGCTGGACACTTCCTCCAGCTGCTCTCCTGGTTCCCACAGCCCTGTCCCCCTGCCTCTGCTGTGTTTCCAGCTGGGATCTGGTCACTCTGTCTTCATTTGGTCTGTCCACATGGGAGGTGAGACCAGGCCTTAGCCTGGGTTCTAGCCCTGGGAGCCCATCTCAGGGCTGGCCAGTAGAACCCTCTAGGCGCCAGGGAGGTGTTCAGGGTGCAAACACCCTCTCCGGACAGGCCCCCAACCGGAGACTTGCCTTGGCCCTCTGTGGGTCTCCCACCTTCCCTCCTGGGCAGGCCTCAGCTGGCGTGCCTACCTGGGCCTCTGTCCTCAGGCCTGAGCCACTGGTGCCTGTGTCTCAAGCTGTGGAGGCAGTTTCCCAGTCCAGGGAGTGGCCTGGGTCCACTTCTCGTCTGGGTCACTCATTCTAAGTGGGACTCCTTCACGGCAAGGAATGTTGGAAAGACGTAAGACGCTCTGAGCCCGGAGTGGCCCGTCAGAGCTCGTTCCTGGAAGCTTCCCCTTTAATGGCAAGATCTGCTCAAAAACCCGGCACAAAGCGGAGGCGGGAGGATCACTTGAGCTCGGGAGTTCAAGACCAGCCTGGGCAACATAAGGCAACCGTATTTCTACCAAAAGTTTAAAAAATCAGCCGGGCGGCCGGGCGCGGTGGCTCAAGCCTGTAATCCCAGCACTTTGGGAGGCCGAGACGGGCGGATCACGAGGTCAGGAGATCGAGACCATCCTTGCTAACACAGTGAAACCCCGTCTCTACTAAAAAATACAAAAAAACTAGCTGGGCGAGGCGGCCGGCGCCTGTAGTTCCAGCTACTCAGGAGGCTGAGGCAGGAGAATGGCATGAACCCGGGAGGCGGAGCTTGCAGTGAGCTGAGATCCGGCCACTGCACTCCAGCCTGGGTGACAGAGCAAGACTCCATCTCAAAAAAAAAAAAAAAAAAAAAAATTAGCCAGGCATGGTGTTGCATGCCTGTGGTCCCAGGTACTTGGGAGACTGAGGTGGGAGGATCCCTTGAACCCAGGAGGTTGAGGCTGTGATTGAGCCACTGCCCTCCATCCTGGGTGACGGAGCAAGATCTTGTCTCGAAAACAAAACAAAACAAGCCAGCACAACACTCAAGCCCTTTGTTCAGCAGTCTCGCGTCCCCGTTCACAGCCCCCAGCATCCCCGCACCTACCCTGTTTCCAGCACACCCCTCACCGCAGGTGCCAGGCCTGGGGTCACTGCACTCCCTCACTTCCAGGCCCCTGTGCCTGGTGGCTCTTCTACCAGGAAGGCCTTTCCCCTCTGCTCCAGGCTAACTGCACCACATCCTTCAGAACTCTGCTCCGGCCCCGATCCCCCTCCCTCTGAAGCCTGCTTAGATAAAGCACCAGGGGCAGCTTTTTCCTGTCCCGGGGGTTCACAGCTATTTGGAAGCAGGGCAGGGCTCCCTCTAGGCCTGGCATTGGCCTGGCCCACAGTGGGTGCTCTGTGGATGGCACTGGGGAGCCTTATCCAGTGAAGTCACAGGGGAAACACCATCCTTGAGTGGGCACCAAGCCAGGCTGAGGCCTAAGGGATGGGGAAGGTCTGAGAACAGCTCAGGGGGATGGCAGGGGAGGCCAGTGTGGATGTAGAGTCGGTGGCCAGCAGTGAGCAAAGCTGCTGCAGCTCAGGACAGCGTGGTCAGCAGTGTCCAGGCCAGGTCAGCCACGGCCCCGCATGGAACTGAACTCACCATGCAGACAAAACAAGGGCTTTTCACACCATCCAGAACCTTGGGGGAGGTGGCCCCAGCTGGCCCTTGGTCTGTGGGCTTTTCTGTGGCCCCTGGCTGGGTATTGGAGGAAGGTAGAAGAAAGACTGGAGGCCGGGCGCAGTGGCTCACGTCTGTAATCCCAGCACTTTGGGAGGCTAAGGCGGGTGGATCACCTAAGGTCAGGAGTTCGAGAGCAGCCTGACCAACATGGAGAAACCCCATCTCTACTAAAAATACAAAATTAGCTGGGCGTGGTGGCACGTGCCTGTAATCCCAGCTACTCAGGAGGCTGAGGCAGGAGACTAGCTTGAACTCTGGAGGCGGAGGTTGCAGTGAACCCAGAATGCGCCATTGCACTCCAGCTTGGGCAAGAAGAGCGAAACTCCATGTCAAAAAAAAAAAAAAAAAAAAACAGAGGCCGGGCGCGGTGGCTCAAGCCTGTAATCTCAGCACTTTGGGAGGCTCAGACGGGCAGATCACAAGGTCAGGAGATCGAGACCGTCCTGGCTAACACGCTGAAACTCCGTCTCTACTAAAAAATACAAAAGACTAGCCGAGTGAGGTGGCGGGCACCTGTAGTCCCAGCTACTCAGGAGGCTGGGGCAAGAGAATGGCGTAAACCCGGGAGGCGGAGCTTGCAGTGAGCTGAGATCTGGTCACTGCACTCCAGTCTGGGTGACAGAGCAAGATTCCCTCGGGGGGAAAAAAAAAAAGAAAAAGGCCAGGTG